GTGTTCATCAGGGATATCGGCCTGTAATTCTCTTTCTTTGTGGTATCTCTGTCTGCTTTTGGTATCAGTGTGATATTTGCTTCGTAGAAACTGTTTGGAAGTGTTTTTGATATTTCAATTTCGTGGAAAAGCTTAAAGAGTATTGGGAGTAAGTCCTCTTTAAAGATTTGGAAGAATTCACTAGTGAATCCATCCGGGCCAGGACTTTTGTGCTTGGGGAGACTTTTTATTACCATTTCAATTTCCTTGATGGTGATAGGTCTGTTCAGGTATTCCAGGTCTTCTTGGTTCAGCCTTGGGAGTCTGTAGGAGTCTAGGAATTTATCCATTTCCTCGAGGTTTTGATGTTCCGTGGCATAAAGCTTCTCAAAGTACTCCCTGAGGATCCTCTGAATTTCTGTGGTTTCTGTTGTAATGACCCCCTTTTCATTTCTGATTCGGTTTATTAGGGTTTTCTCTCTCCCTTTCTTTGTGAGTTTTGCTAGAGGCTTATCGATCTTGTTAATTTTCTCAAAGAACCAGCTCTTGGTTTCATTGATCTTTCGGATTGTTTTTTGGGTTTCCATCTCATTAATCTCTGCTCTGAGTTTTATTATTTCCTTTCTCCTGTTCGGGTTGTGCTCCTTTTTTTGGTCCTTCTCCAAGCTCTTAAGCTGTGAGGTTAGGTTACTTATGTGTGCTCGCTCCTCCTTCCTGAGGAATGCTTGTAGAGCTATAAACTTTCCTCTTAACACAGCCTTTGCTGTGTCCCATAAGTTTTGGTAACTCGTGTTCTCATTTTCATTCGTTTCTAGGAATCTTTTTATTTCCTCTTTGATTTCCTGTCTAATCCACTCGTTGTTCAATAGTGCACTGTTTAATTTCCAGGTGTTTGATTTAGTTTTCTGTTTTTGTGTGTGATTTACTTCTAATTTCAGCGCATTATGGTCTGAGAAGATTGTTGATACAATCTCTACCTTCTTAATTTTATGGAGGCATGTTTTGTGGCTCAGCATGTGGTCTATCTTGGAGAATGTTCCATGTACGCTTGAGAAGAATGTGTATTCAGCTTTTTGTGGATGAAGTGTCCTGTATATATCTACTAAGTCCCTTTCTTCCATTGTTTCCCTCAAATGAAGTATGTCCTTGCTAAGCTTGAGTCTGGTTGATCTATCAAGAGGTGACAAAGCAGTGTTGAAGTCTCCCACTAGTATTGTGTTGCTATTGATGTCTTTTTCCAAATCTATGAGTAGTTGTTTTAAGTACTTTGCTGGTCTCTCATTAGGTGCATATACATTTATTATTGTAAGTTCTTCCTGTTGTACAGATCCTCTGATCAATAAGTAATGGCCTTCACTGTCTCTTATGACCTTCCTCACTCTGAAATCAATGTGGTCTGATATAAGGATGGCTACCCCAGCTTTTTTATGGGAGCTGTTTGCCTGTAGGATTGTTTTCCAGCCTTTGACTCTGAGTCTGTGTTTGCTTTGACTATTGAGATGCGTTTCTTGCAGGCAGCAGAATGTTGGGTTCAATTTTCTAATCCATCCTGCCACTCTATGTCTTTTAATTGGTGAGTTTAGCCCATTGACATTGAGAGAGATTATTGTTATGGGATTTTGTCCCATTGTTCTGTTAAAATTGGGTGTATTTGAGGGGCCTTTCTTGCCTTAAAGTAGCCCATTTAGTTGTTCTTGTAACCATGGTTTTGAGTCTATGAAGTTCCTGAGCTGTTGTTTGTCTGTGAAACTGTGTGTTGTTCCTTCTATTATGAATGAGAGTCTTGCTGGGAAAAGTATTTTGGGGGAGGCATTTATTTCATTGAGTTTTTTTACTATGTCCCACCACTGTTTTCGGGCCATGAGGGTTTCATCAGAAAAATCAGCTGTGAATTTTAAGGATGCTCCTTTGTAAGAGATTTCTTTCTTCGATCTTGCTGCTTTCAGAATTTTGTCTCTGTCTAAGGTTTTGGTCATTTTGATCAGAATGTGTCTTGGGGTATTTTTATTCGGATTTCTTCTAGCTGGTACCCTTCGGGCCTCCTGAATGTGGTCACAAGTTTTCTTCAGCTCTGGAAATGTTGTAGCAATGATGTCTTTGACAGTTTCTTCTTCATCGAGGTTTTCTTCCTGTCCCTCTGGGACTCCAATAATTCTTATGTTACCCCTCTTGGCTTCATCACGATCTTCTCTTGCCATCTGTTCCCGAATTGAGTCTCTTTTCCATTTTCTGCTCTTTTCGGGAGAGTCTCTGAACTTCATCTTCGAGCTCACTGATTCTGTTCTCAGCCACTGTTACTCTGCTGCTGAGGCCTTCCACTGAGCTTTTCAATTCGCCTACGAGATTTTTCAGGTCTGACATTTCTGACTGCATTTTCCTCATTTCTGCCTTCAGATCCTCTTGTCTTCTATTGGCATTGCTTTCCATTGTTTCTTTTAATTCCCTAAGCATCCTAAGTAGCTCCCTTCTGAATTCCTTGTCAGAGAGGTTGTCTAACACTACAGTACTGTTGGTGTCATCTGGGCTAGACTCTTCAATATGAATGTTTGGTGGGCTTTTGCGTTGCTTTACCATTGTGAGAGGTGTGGTTTAGTCCTTCACGTTCAGTGTTACTATTCTGCTTGATATGCAGTGTGAGTTAAGATAGGCTTATGAGTTATTGGCAACTGTATTTCTAGTGGCTGAGCTAAACTAGAGAAGTTTCCATCTAAGAAGTTAGCATATGGTTCCTATGGCATATGTAGTGGGAAAATATTTCGCGGCCGCGTTAGCGGCCGCGGCTCCGGAAAGAGTCCCTGGCACTGGGCGAGGAGTTGGGAATGTCTCCTGTTTGGAATTGGAGCCGTTCAGCTTTGTTGCCCAGAGCTGGGCCTCTGTGCCCGTCCCACGCGGCTCAGGGGTTGAAAACCGGCTGTCTCGGGGCTGTTTCTAGCTGCGCGTGCCCAGAGAGGAACCCAGGCCCTTGGGGGCGGGCTGTACCTGTTGGAATTGGAGCCGTTCAGCTTTGTTGCCCAGAGCTGGGCCTCTGTGCCCGTCCCACGCGGCTCAGGGGTTGAAAACCGGCTGTCTCGGGGCTGTTTCTAGCTGCGCGTGCCCAGAGAGGAACCCAGGCCCTTGGGGGCGGGCTGTACCTGTTGGAATTGGAGCCGTTCAGCTTTGTTGCCCAGAGCTGGGCCTCTGTGCCCGTCCCACGCGGCTCAGGGGTTGAAAACGGCTGTCTCGGGGCTGTTTCTAGCTGCGCGTGCCCAGAGACGGACCCAGGCCCTTGGGGGCGGGCTGTACCTGTTGGAATTGGAGCCGTTCAGCTTTGTTGCCCAGAGCTGGGCCTCTGTGCCCGTCCCACGCGGCTCAGGGGTTCGGTTTATTATTTTTAGGAGCTTTTCAGCAGTGTCTTTAGGGTTTCTATGTTTAGTTTCATATCGTATGCACTTTTTAACTTATTTACCAAATTTAAGCCTTTTTAGTCTCTTTCTTGACTGGCTAAGACTTGCACTACTATGCTGAATAATAATTCAGAGTGAATATTCTTATTGTGTGCCTGATCTTAGAACATATGCTTCAAGAAAGGTAATTTGTCCTCTTTGAAGATTTGGAAGAATTTACTATCAAAAGCATTTGTAACTGGACTTTGATTTTGGGCAAATTTTTAATTAATATCAAAATTTCAGTGCTAGAATTTTGTCTGAATAGATTTTTTTCTTCTAAGCTGTAAGAAGTTGTAGTATATAAAACTTTATCCACATATTTTAGGTTCTTCATGTTAGTATCATAGTTGTTCATAGTAATTTTATATAATCTCTTGTAGTTCTGTGATGTTTGTTTTAATATCTCCCTTTCACTTCTTATCAAATTTATAAGAATTGTCCCTTTTATATTCCCTGAGAGTTTTTAAATCTTGTTTATTCTTTGATCTTAATAAAAGATCTTGGCTTTTCTTATCTTTCATATTGTGTGTTTTATTTCTATTATGTTGATTTCTACTTTAATTTTTATTATTACTCACCTATCTACTTTGGATACTTTTGTTGTTACCTTCTAATTTGTTGAGATATAAGCTTAGGTTAGTTCTTAGTCTTTTGAATTCTCTAATAAATACCTATATTGTTAGAGCCCATCCTAGAACAGAGCTTTCTTCATTTAGTAGCACAATCTATTGTCATCTGTTTTCAGGAATTTTTTCACTTTTTAAAAATTCTTCTATGATCCAGTGGTTGTTTAGTAAGATATTGTTTAGTTTCCAAGTGTTTGGGTTTTTCTCAGCTTTTGGTTTGTGGTTTATATCCTTTTATAAACCATCTCCATATTAAGAGACACCAAATATGGGGCCAGAGCAATTATGCAAAGTAGGGCACTTGCCTTGCGTGTGTCTGACCTGGGTTTAGTCTCTGGCACCACATATGGTTCCCTGAGTCCCCCCAGGTGTGATTCCTAAACACAGACCCAGGAGTAAGTCCTGAGCATCACCAGGTGCACCCCTCCAAAAAACAGATACCAAACATTATTACTGTCTTTTATAAAAATTTTATAAAGACTTATCCTATGTCCCAGAATGTGTTTTACCCTAAGGATGATTCATACTCTGCAACATAGAATATGCAGTCATATTTGGGGATGCAGTACCCTGCACCCTTCACTTGTCTGTTAAGCCCGCCTCTTCTATGTGTTCCTTTAGGGTCACTGTTTCCTTTTAGAGTATTTGTCTGTTTGATCTGTCTTAGCTTCCTCTGGTAAGAGGGTGGTATTAAAAATTTATTAGCCTAGGCTAGAGAGATTGTGCTGTAGTTAGGGTGTTTGCCTTGCAGTGTCCTATCAATCCCAAGCATCACAATGAACCCCTCAATCTGCCAGGAGTGATCCTTGAGCAAGGAGCCAGGAGAAAACCCTGAGCATGTGCAAGTGTGACCCAGAAACATTTTCTTAGCCTCATTTTTAATTTTACTTTATTTTTTTCTATTTTACCATTTAACAAGTGTAGATAAAAACAGCTACTACTATGATTAAGATGAAAAGCACTACCTATAAAAAATATGGTATACTTCACTAATTTGCATGTCATCCTTGTGCAGTGGCCATGCTAATTCTCTCTGTATCGTTCCAGTTTTAGTATATGTGCTGCCAAAGCAAGAACTAGGCTTAATTTTTAAAAGAAAATAATTTTTAAAATGTATTTTGAAAAGAGCACAGAAACAACATCACTATTTTGGCTTTATACCATCTTCACAAATATTTAAAATGAAGGTTCCAAGTAAAAAATACCAATGTTTATTAAATAACAAGCATGATCAAGGATAATTTTATTACCACTGTGACCTGTTTCCTTATAAAATCTTCCAGTAGCTAACACTATGTCTCCTGAACCAGCTTCATTTACCTTGAAGTAAATAACACTCTGGAAAAATTAAGTCATCCTAGCAAACTCTGAGGCAAGGCTTGTGTTTTTTACTTCTTATTCCTTTTTAGGCCATATTCTACATAGGGCCACAAAATAGTGTCTTTTATGCCCTGAGTTGTCTAATCAGCCTGAGCATGTCATCCATTTTTAAGCAATACTGTTAGTTTTGTTTAGTGTCCAAGACTCTATTAGGGACTAGAACACTTTCCTTCCCTGTCCAACAAGTCACAAGGGAGAGAAGCAGGTCTCTTGAAGACTTAAATTGTATTGCCAAATGCAAGGACATCTGTCAAGCAAATGTTAAGCAAAACATACTGAACACCATGGCCAAATTCCAGGGTAACAACTGGTAACTCATAGGTGTTGTTAGGAAACCAGCTTAATTGTTGTGGGAAGTTCTTTATTATTTTAAACAAAGCTTGGAGAATATTTAATTTGCTTGAATTTAAAACATTGCTCATGAGCAAAGTGCAATATAAACATATTCCAGGAGAAAACCATGTCAATCTAATTTTTTATTTGCAAACAGGATGATTAAAAACAAAATGCTTAAGAATTTTCTGAAGGTGATATTATTGCTATGTAGGGCACTTTAGAAGGTTATGAAGCAAAAAAATCCTTTTACTTAATTAAACCATAATTTAAGATATTTGACATTACTAGGGGAGATTGGGACTTTCAAACAAAATCAGAGCTTTCATCTATTTTTTCTTTTCTTTTCTTTTCTTTAGTTTAATCACCATGAAATACAGTTACAAAGCTTCCATGTTTGAGTTTTAGTCATACAATGATGATCGAACACCTATCCCTCCACCAGTGTACATTTTCCACCACCAATGTCCCAATCTAAATCCCATCCCTCCCTCACCTCCATGGCAGACAATTTGCCCTATACCCTCTCTACTTTGGGACATTATGGTTTGCTCAAATTTTCCCACCACCATCCAAGCCTGCCTGCCAGAGGCAGATGCTAGATCATTTATTTTCTATTGTTTATTATGAATATCATGAGAGGTGGCATAGTAGCAAAAATGGCCGCAGGTTTCTGGAATTCTAAAATTGCAAATTGTTGGGATCCAGAGACATCTATCTAGGGAGTTTATCCATTTTAAGATTCATTTGAGAGCCTCTGAATCAGGGCTGTTGATGTGATAACATGGCGCCCAGAGTCAGACCGTGGGCGTGACAGCCAGGATCCCAAGCGTGCTGTGAGATGGGGAGGGATGGCCCATCTCTGTTGCCACCATGAGGCCTGGTGTCTTAGTCCTAGAACCAGAATAGCTGGGTTTTGCTTCTGGAAGCTCGTGGCGGCTGGGGTTTCATCTTCTCCATCTAAGTTGCCTGGGTGGAATTGGCTTGGTACTGGATCCGGAGAGATCTCCGGCAAGCTGTTGTCTTCCTGGATTCACTGTTGTGCAATCTTGAGCCTTTGTCTTTACCAGGGTAGTTGGACAGAAATTATAACAATTGCAGCTCCACACACCTTTCCTGACCAAGCAACCCCCGGCTCAGCATCTGCAGAAAGGTTGTGTGTTACACAAAGCAAAAACCTCCTGGATGCTTTTCTCAGGTACTCCAAAGCAACAAACTAGTTCTACATAGCTTCCCTGACTCCACAACACTCAGCTTAGCATGGCTCAGTTTGGAATGAGGCTCTATCAACACCATTAAAATGTAGAACTTTGACATATCTGCAGTGGCAGGTACCAGGATTTTCCAAACATCAATCCTCTCCCTGCTTAAAATCAAATAATAGACATCAATAGTATAATTAAATATCACTGATATACTCAAACCATAATCAATGACAAACATAATACATAAAACAAGAGGGAAATGTAAGAACAGCAAGATAATAACAAAAGACAACAAAAGTCAGGAGAAATTAATAGCGCCATCAGACCTCTATAATTTGCCTGAAGAATCCTTCAGTTGACCAATCATAAGAATGTTCAATGATATGAAAAATGATATTTGAGCAAACTTTCAACAAACTTGAAGAGAACCTGATGAAAAAATTAAAAGGAGTCAGACAATAGAAATAATGGAACCTACAAATGAAGTAGGAATCAACAGGCAAAATATTATAAAGAAGCAACTGCCCTAATTGAGGGAGGATATGAAGAAACTAAATCTAATGGGCCCTCTACAAAGAAACAAAAACAAAACTAAAACAAAACCACAAAACAAAACCCTTAAACATTCTTCTCCACTACACATGGGACACTCTCCAGGATATAAGCCGATACACAATTCTAACCCATAAAAATCATCAATGTATCACTGTCATTCCATTGTTCATCGATTTTCTCGAGTGGGTGACAGGAATGTCTCCATTTCCCCCAGCCCTCAGATTTTAGCCGCCTCTCCTTACTCGTCCTTCCCAACGGTGCCTTACTGGAGGCTCTTTCAAGGTCAGGGGAATGAGACCCGTTATTGTTACTGGTATTGCATATTGAATACAACCAGGGAGATTTCCAGGCTCTGCCATGCAATTAAAATAATAAAAATAGAAATTATACCAAATATCTCCTCAGTTCACAAAGCCACAAAAGTAAACATTAATGACAAAAATAAATTTACAAAAAGATTAAATACGTGTAAACTAAACAGTTTAGTTTTAATGCTAAATAACAATTGGATTAAAGAGGATTAAAAAATATCAAGAGTCTTGGGGCGGGAGCAATAGCACAGTGGGTAGGGTGTTTACCTTGCACACGGCCAACCCGGGTTCAATTCCCAGCATCCCATATGGTCTCCTGAGCACCGCCAGGAGTAATTCCTGAGTGCATGAGCCAAGAGTAACCCCTGTTCAACGCTGGGTGTGACCCAAAAAAAAGCAAAAAAAAAATCAAGAGTATTTAAAATAAATGAAAATGAATACAACAACTGCCAGAATTATGGAACACAGCAAAAAAAAAGCAGCACTAAGGAATTGTATAGCTATTCAAGCACATGTCAGGAATAAAGAATTGACTCAAATCAATGATCTAACCTCTCAGCTAAGGAAACTAGAAAAGGTAAAACAAATGAACCCCAAAGCAAATATAAGGCAGGAAATAACAAATATTCGAGATGAATTCAATGGTAGAGAAAACAAGAAAATAAAAACTAAGGATCAGTAAAGACATGAGTTGGTTCTTTTAAAGAATAAACAAGATTGACAAACCCTTATCTAGACTCAAGAAGAAAAAATTATAAATAAATAGGATAAGAGATGAAAAGGGAGAAATAAAAACAGATACCTAGAAATAGGAAAAACCCTAAGAGTTTACTATGAATAACCTTATACTACTAAGCTTAAGAACTTAAAAGTTCTTGAGCAAGTTCTTAGAAACATATGAACTCCTAAAACCCAACCAAGAGGAAACAGAGAACCTGAATAGAACACCTTGAGTAAAGAAATAGAAACACTAATGAAAAATCTCCTCATGAAAAGGCAGCTCAGATAGAGAAGGGAGCACCAAATCAAGGGTTTTCGGAGGACTCTCCCAGGATGGGAGAAGCATGCTGAAAGTAGACTATAGACCAAACATGATTTCCACTCAATGCCTCTTTTGCAAGCCACAATACCCAAAAGGAGAGAGAGAACAAAAGGGAATGCCCTGCCACAGACAGTAGCACTCCACTGTAGCACTATCCTCCTGTTGTTCATCGATTTGTTCGAGCATGTACCAGTAAAGTCTTCATTGTGAGACTTGTTATTACTGTTTTTGGCATATCGAATATGCCATGGGGAGCTTGCCAGGCTCTGCAGTGAACAAAGATAGTATTAAAAATAAAATTACAGACCAGTATCTCTAATGAACCTTGATGCAAAAATATTAAACAAAATAGTAGTGAATAAAATACAGCAATATATCAAAAGGATTATATTCCATAATCACATGGAGTTCATCGGCAGGGGGAAGGTTGAAAAGGGGGGGCACACGGGGTTATTGGTGGTGGGGAATGTGTACTGGTGGAAGGATGGATGTTTGATCATTGTGTGATTTTAACCCAAACATGAAAGCTTGCAACTATCTCATGGTGATTAAATAATTTTTTTTTAAAAAATGGAGTCCATCCCTGGGATGCAAAAATTATTAAGGATATGGAAATTGATCAGTGTAAGATACCATAACCTTTGCCCCCCCCAAATAAACAAAACAAATAGTCATAACAGTCTAATTCAGAGAATGTTTTTAACAAGATTCAACACCCACTTATATTAAAAGTCCTTCAAAATTAGGAATAGAAGGATGATACTTCATGATAGTAAGTCATCTGTTACAAATCCACAGACTGTATTATACTTAATGATGAAAGTAGAGGCTAGGCACAGGCAAGAATATACACTGTCTCCACTCTTGTAAGTTTGTCACAGAAATCAGACAAAAGTATATCAAAGGAATCCAAATCATAAACAAAGAAATCAAATTATCACTTTGCAGATGCCATATTATACATTGAAAAACTAAAAGACTCAACCAAATCTTAAAACCTCAACCAAAAATCTCCTATAAAGAATAAACCAATACACTATGGTAGAACTGATATAAACAAATCCTTGGAGAGAGCAACATAGAACGTCCAGATCCAGGTAGTTTTCACTGGGGCAAGTAGGAGGGGTGGTCGAGTGAGTTTCCCTCCCTACCCCAATAGAGCCCCTGCAGTCAAAACCCCCCAGAACTCAATTGCTGCCGTGCTTACGGTCGTTCTCCACAGGCTCAGACGAGCCTCATGAATGAAT